AACTCTGAGATACTGCCATTTTGACCCCATGTGCTGCTCATGTTTCCATTTGTTTGCTTCTCCTTTGCCTTCCCTCCCAAGTATTTAACAAATTATTAATAAATATCTTCCAAGATATAAGAGGTCAACCTGGGATCAATTCAAAAGGGTCAAGATGCATGAACATATGTTCTGGTTGCTAATTCTGTTTGTAACTTCAGCGCCGAATCCTTGTTCTTCAGTGCTGCACATAAAATGGAAATAAAACAATCCTCTTTTTTGTGAATAGGTCTTTTTTGCTGTACAAAATTCAGTTCTGATCGGCTGTTGCAGCTTGATCGTAAGTTGCTACTAATATTTGGCAAAACCTTCTTAAAATAAACCCTCTGACATATGTGCAATTACTGCTCACTTACAGCACCCTGCAGAAGCTCAGCATTGCAGATTTTGCATCTTTAAACTTCCAGGTCTTTGCTGATCCAGCTTCACAAAACCGTGACGTTACACCAACGTTGCAAATGCATCGAATTCTTTTTATCAGCAGAAAAGGCCGGTTTGGATTCATAGGCCACATCTGCTGGTGAACTTTGTGCAGTCTGCCTGTTTTGTTTTTTTTTTTTTTCTCTTTTACTAGAAGAAAGGTTTGTTTGTTGGCCGCCCGCTCGGGGCGGGACAGGAATGTAATGCATGCACAGACTGTGCAGTATTTCCTGTTCAACTGCCGCTCCAAACCTCGGCGCTGGGAAAATCTCCAGATCGAGCAGCTCGGTCCTTGCTCAAACGACGAAGAAATGCTGCAGCTTCTGAAATGCTTACATTTTTTTACAGAAGATATATTTTTTAAAGTGAATCTTCATGGTGTGCTTTAAATTATCAGATTCTATGGATATTTCTTCTACACTACAGATTACTGTGACTGAAACAAAACATTAAACTTAGTGAAGCACTATATGTACAGAGAGATGGCTCCATAATGTCACTGCAAGAAGTTATGTTTATTTTGTAGCATAACACGTCTCCATAATGTTGCCTGCGTAGTTCAGTTAGCTTCGTTTTCCATCCAGTTAAAAATGGTAGTAATCTTTTGGCACTGGAGCTATGTTTGCATTATTTGCTGTATTTTATTTTGCCCTTAAACTGTTTTGAAGCATCGCTTTTGCATTGCACTTCAGAAGTGAAATATTTTGTTTTAGGAAAAGGAAAAAAACTTTGAGTTTGATCACTTCTGCCAACAAACACTAAACTCCAGCGCTGCAACCTTGCCTTGTGTGTAGTGTGAAAGTGAGATGAGGGGGTTTTCTTTCTTTTAATTTTTTATCTGTTTTTTTTTTTTAAAGTTGTTTTGGTCCTTTGTACATGTGGCAGCTCTGTTACCGTTTCAGACTACCAGCTGATGGATGAGTGACTCTGTGGGGTGTGGCTAGTTATTTATTTTATTTACTAATTTTATTAATTTTTTTAAGCAGATGTATGTTTTGGGAATTTATATCCGTAGGCTCCTCTGGAACCTATGAAGTGCCATGGCTCTTCTCAAAAAAAGTGAATACTAGGAAAAGGTTCGACTGTGAGCTGCATATGTGTGCATATATGCATAGAGTCATTAAAAAAATGTTGCATGTCCTTGTAGTGCCTTTTTTAGTGTGTTCAGCAGTTACTTAGTCCTATGCGAAAAGGAAGCGAGCGTGCACAGGTCAGCCTTGAAGACCAGGCACCCCGTTGCAGGCCCTTGGTGCTCTCTCGCAAGATGCCACGCGAGGTGGCTGGACCAGGTGGATGGATGCCAGTGCAGGACAGGTACCGAGCACAGCTCGGGCTCTTCTCTAGCTTGGAGGAGAATCCAGAGGAGGCTGGATGGGCACGTTCAGCTCCTGTTTAAACACTGTCCAGCTGTTTTCATAGAAGGCAAAGGTACAGCAGCTCTCTGGCTTATCTTGCTGAAGGAGTTACTGGAAGTGGACATCTCCTAACTTCCCTTCCGTATTCTCATCCATCTTCTGTCCCTGGCTGTTCCAGTGGCAAGCGATACAGGCACAAAAAAGAAAGTGCTAACTGTTAATTAGTTCCTTCCTGGATCACAAGGAGACCTACTTTTCAGTCCTTTGGAGATACAGATCTACCGTGCTGCTTCTCAAAATTGGAAGTGGTCTCAGCATAGCCCCGTTAGCTTGTCAAGCACTGGAGCAAGAAAGGAGCCGGCCAAAATCTGCACTGTTTAATTTGAACTTGAAGGTATTTCACTCAGAACATAGTTCAAAGGGTTAATTAGAATGTTAAAACAGTTTTTAACTTTTAGGCTTCATTATTAAATGTGGATGCCCCTGAAGCAGTGGATCTGCCTTCAGTCTTCGAGCTGAATAAATAGAAGGAGTTCAGCTTTGACAGATACCTGTCCTTTAACATAGCATTTCCTAGTCGCAACCCTCTTAATTCTTTGAATGCTGCAACACTGCAAGACAGCACAGGTGTTTGAATCATGGCTTGTATGAGAAGCTGATGCATATGATGTGAAGATTATACCATCATGTGTATATATGTCCAACCAAACCTCAGTGTGCAGACTGAAGTATACCAACTGCTGTATGGTTTTGGAATTTGCCTTGGGATCCATCAGGTTTATGTGCTGTTTTGAGCCTTTTCATGGTTTCTTATCCGCCCTTGTCAGTTAAGAGGCTTCAGTGTACAGTTGCTGGTTTTAACATTTACTAGCTCTATATATATCTCATGATGCATCACAGCCTTGTACAGAGACAGCAATGCTGAGTTCTCAGTCGTGTATTACAAAAATGACTTCAGAATTTCACTACTTCTGATCCTTAGAAAATGAGCATCCAACAATAACAGCAGGTATTTAATTCATCCAGATTTGAGGACTGTAATAAATAATTTAAGGCAAAAGAAGTTTTTTGCTTTAAGCTGCCGCAACAAAAATGTTTCCAAAGCTTTGTTTGGTTAGGTAGCAGTCTTTTTTCTTCGTATAGCTTTAGCTGCCTTGAATTAACATTCATCGCGATGATTTTTTTACTTTTGTCCTGGATACTATGTGGAAGTGTATTTTTATAGGACTTTTGCAGGTATGGAAAGCAAACTGTAGTGTTCTGATATCCACTAGATAACTTCTCTTTGGATAAGATAAGATGTTCTTGCATAACCATTTTATCTTGGTGTACGGGTGCAACTTCTGAGCTTCTTTTCCAAAACATCATGGAATGGGTTAATAAGAGTAATGTTCAATTTTTCTTAAAATTCCTAAAAGTTCATAAATCATATTGACATCTTTTCAGATCCAAGTGCAGTGACCTACTTTAAATAGATTAAAGTGAGATAAAGAAGAGATTAGCTCAAAAGAAAAACTAAGTTACTTGGTTATTTTTCCCCTATGTCCCCACCTGTCTTACGTGTTTAAGCTTTTATTTCTTGGCTGCTAGCCATGCAATCAGCTCCATCCAGAGCAGACTACTAATGCAGTGTATGGGAAAGGGTTTGGCAGGGGGTAGTTAAACATTCTGGAAAGATTTTTCTTTCACTAGACTAATCTGGGATCCCTCCCTTCAAAGAAATAATTTGAATGGAAAAACCAAAACCTTAAGTTTATTTAATTATGTTTGGGAGGGGGGAGAGGTTGCCAGCTTCAGTTGAAATGAAGGTAATTCTGGGGTATATCATGTCCAGTATAAACAGAGCAATTTGCTTGGGTTATACATGTTTGAAGGTTAAACCAGTTGTGGGTTGTTGTTTCAGGTATGTGACACTGCTGTTACTGCTATATTTTCTGCAAAGCTCATGTGGAAGATTAAACCTTTCAATGATAAACTGCAAATGGCATTTAAAACCTGTTATATGGGCATCACGTGCAGATTTGGCATCAAGTATTGTAAAATAATTTCTATCCTGGTCAATACATCACAAAAATAGGAGCTGCATGAGCACAGTTGCCCGTTTTCTGCTACGTAAGTGTTTCTAGCTTGAGTCATGTAGGATATAAAATTATGTTTTTCTGATAAGATGAAATGCAACCTTTTAGGAAGATTGGGCAAATTATGCATCTCTAATCATGTATAAATTTTGAAACTGCCTCCTTTTGAAGAAAGGCTTTGTTTAATACCACTTTATTCTGACTTGAATCTTTCCATTTTGTATTATAAACAAACTTGTTAATGGAGAGCTCACGATACACAGATGTTCATTTTCTTGCATTTAGCAAGTTCATCTGTAAGCGCACGGAAAGTCTCTTCATTACCCAGTTTATATTATTCGAGAGGACTGGCTATTGCATTCGTTTAATTAGGAAAAATTCAGCAGTAATTAGCTCACTCATGCGCTGCAGAGGGATGGGCTGGATTAGGAGCCCTCCAGTCATCCCATGGTGGCTTCCTGGAGCAATAAGGGGTTTCTTGTGTGACGGCTGTGCAACAATATGCTTTTGTCATTTCACACAACTCCAGCAAAATTTGATGGGAGAAGCCCTGAACGAAACTTTTTTCAGATACAGTGCATGAGGGAAAAGCTTTTTCTTTGCTCTGTAACTTGTGCTGCTATTGGAACTATCTTGGTGGGAGAAGAGCAGCGTCAACGCTTCTGCCTCCAAAGGATGGTTTGAGTGAAAGGAGATTTGAGAAGGTGCTGTAGATTACTTCTGTTAGCATGCTCTTGTATTAATTTCTATTATAACCTATGTCTGTAATGTTTGGGGTTTGGTTTTTGTGTTTTGTTTTTTTTTTTCTTCTTCCTGTTCTGTTTGTATAACCACCCAGTACAGTATCTTCTATTTAAACTTACATGATTGCACTAATTTATTTTAAAACTTGTCTTTATCTTTTCTTGAACCCCCTCCCCAGACTTAGTAATGCTGTGGGTTCGTTAGGACTTGACAGAAGACCTCAATAAGCACAGATCTGTGGACCATCTTTAACTTCCAGAAACTTGCGGGCAATTCAAGAATTAACTTACGCGCAAGCAGCAGGTAGCACACAGGTTACGAGCAGCAAGGCTTGTCGTTAGAAATAGTGCAGGACAGCATCTGGAAATTATGGGTGAGACCTTGCACTTTCAAATTGGGGGAAATCTGGACCAGAAGGGCTTCCCTTCTGGCAGGGAGAGCTGCGTTCCTGTTTCTGACCCTGTCTGCAAATAATCTTTTAGAAATTCAGATAATTTGACAAAGTGCTTCGCTGAAGGCTCTTGCAGACCTCCATGAGATCCCTGGGGAAGGAGTTACACAGGGATCTCTGCAGTCTGCTCTTCAGCATAGTCTTAAGCTATGTGGAAAAGGAAGTAAGGAAATAAGGCAACAAAAATTGTAAGGGAAAGGGGTGTGTATTTGTTTGTGCATGTATATGAATGTGTGTGCATATATGTGCACCTGTATATAGATTGAAAACTTAACTGCGAAGAGTTGTAGGAAGGCAACATGATTCTGAATGGGTGGCCTCTAAAATAGCAGATGAACTTAAGTGCAATTTTCTGCATGGGAAGAGATAAGAATTCTTGACTTGTATTTGCAGTGATGCCTGAAATACCTACTAATGAAGAGACTTTGGTGTTACAATAAGATCTTCTGAAAAATCACATTAGCCCAATGCTCACTTGTTGTAAAACACAAATAAGATATTAGGAATTGTTAGGAAAGTAAGAGAACAAAGCATTGTGTGGGTGTATAAATTCATGGTGCTTTCTCCTTTCATCCTGGATATCGTGTGCGGTTCTAGTCCCCCTCCTCCTGCTCAAAAATGTGAATTAGAGAAGGTACAAAGATAAGAAACAAGGAGGGTCGGAGTTATGAAACAGCTAAACTTGACTGAGCTGTGGACCTTCTTGCCCCAGGATACTTTTAGCACTAAAAGTTGGGGTAGGTTCCAGACGTGATGGGACAAAGTCACGGAAGAGGAGTTAGTTGAGGACTGTTACATACGCAGTTGATGTCTTTAGGTAAGGAAATCCTTAAACTGCAGCTACAATGTACCTGGGATGGTGTTCAGGGAAAGCATCGCTCCAGTCTTGCGTCGTTCCTTTCTTCAACTTCGGCAGATATCTGCTGGTTACAGTCTTCTCTGCTTTCACGGATAACATGCTTTCATATTGTGAAGTTATTTTGCCTGGGCTTTTTTGGTATGCAGTGTTTAAGTGTTTGGTATGCAGTGTTCAAGATTGTAAAAGGTCACTTGAAGTTGTCTTCAGCGTTCAGTGGTGATAGTGGTAATGGGTACAGTATTTCTGTGGATACCATAGGAAATGAGTTCCAACTCCCAAAAGATGGAGGGGGAAAAAAAGAAAAAGTCCTCTAAAGTCCATATGCTGGATGCTGCTCAGACGTGGAGTTTAGATAATTAAGCTTACCACTCCCAGTATCATTACTGCTTGGTCTTACCTATAGGCTTTTAAGGAACGCTGGGTTTTGTCCTCTGCAGTTTTTTTCTCTTTAAAATTTGCTGGCATTCGGAATACCTAAATTAATGGTAGTGATTCAATATTAATGCTTCTTTACATTTTCAGAGTTATAGTTGTTACCTGTATGTACTGTCAGCACTTCAAGAAAAGCAAATCTAGCAAACAGCATACCTATTGCATTTGGTCCAGTGTAACTAAGGAAGGAGAAAATCTTTTCTGTGATGCACAACACTGTCATGGTTGCTCAAAATGAGATACGGTGCAAATCTTTTCCACATATGCAATACCTGTGTGTGTTAATACTGCATGGCACATAAAGCCACTTGAGAACTTCTGTTCCTTACTGCATCCGAAATTATTAAGTCACAGTAGAGCCTTTATAACATATTATTTAAAAAAACAGATATCTTTAAAATAATACCTAAATTAGTGGAAATACCTATTTGAAACTCCACTGTATTATGAATGGCAAAACTGCCAAAATTAAAAACAACATGAAGGAATATTTTTACTAGAACAAATATTTCACTAAGTGAACGTGAGTGTCCATTTGAAATATATCATTTGATCAAGGAAAACAAGAATTCTTAAGTGATTTGGACAAATCAGTAGCTTTTGTCTGAGATTTTTGAATGCTTACTTAGATTATTTACTCCGTTTACTGCCTCTTTCAGTCCTCTATGTAGAAAAGATAGAAATGTTAGTTCCTTAGTGTTTGTGCTGTTCCTGTCGATCTGCTGTGCAGCTGAGGCTGTTATGAATTTATGAATTTAAAAACGCTGCTGTAATTCGTACCTGATCGAAAGGCTTGCTACAAACAGCAGCTCACAGCAGCAAGATACAAACAGACTGGAGGAATCGCTAGAGATGAGGAGTTCGAGTGTCTCTTGGCCATAAATGTCTTTATAATAAAGCCATAGCCATAGGAGCCCATGCAGCATCCCGGCTTTCATGCCTCTCCGTTAAATGCTGTCGTTGTTATTGGGCAGAATTTCTCCTGAAAATTTGGGACTTCATCCTGTAATCCGTTAATATGGCTCTTCACGTGTCCGGACCATCCATGGTCTGATCTTAAGCATTATGAGGTTTGGGGACGAAGATGATGTGGTTTTGGTAAATTTTTGCCTTGCGTGCTGTTTGTATTCAATAACCTCCCATAGACTAAGCTCAGAAGTACTCTGCAACATTTCTTATGCAAACATTTGGTAATTAGTTTTTCTTTCTTAGCATTCTCACTTTTATTAACTTTATAGAAATGGATCCTGCGTTGAAGACCTACAGCAATCCCAGCCTAGAATATAAACTGGACTTTATTATAAAATGCAGTCTTGGCTTTGGGAGGACTATTTTATGCATAAAAATTGTTTGCGTAATGAAGTTTCATGTTACATTCTTGTACTTTTATGAAGTCCAGGAAAAACAAAAGCTTATGATAAATGCTGTGTAAGAGCATTTCTATTTTAAGTATTCAAATTTGATTATTGGCTGTCATATTTTTCGGTAGAGGCTGAAAACAAAATACAGATTATTAGGCAGGTTTCTGTGGCACTAGCTGTAGGGAACAGGACACACAGCATTGTACTTCCCATTCAAATTTCAGCATGTTTCAACATTTACGGTCAGAAAGGAGTTCTCCTTTGCCTGGATGGTATTGCAAAAAACTTGCTTGTGCCTGTGATACAGATTTTCTTGAGTGCTGTTTTGAAAAAGTCCTTTATAGCTGCATAGGCATCTTTGGGGATTTCTAAATGCATGTTTCTGCAAAATTGTTGCAAATGGAATGTGACATTTTGAGAATGAGCCTCTTACTGTAACATACACCACCAATGGCAAGAGTTTTGCATGTGTTTTCTGTTTAACTGGAGTATTGAAAAGCGGTGATCAGATTGGCTTCAGTTTACAAGTGTCTTTAAAGTAATGAAACACTTCCTTAAACACACAGACGCACACAAATCTGTGCACAATTCTGACTTTATTCTGTTATCTGAGCACTTTTTAAATGGTGAAAGTTTATAAAACCCATTTAGTTTTTTATATTGGTACACTTTCCTCTTAGTAGCAATTAATAACTGAACCTGAGCATTGCTCACTCCGTTGAGGTGGAAAAATATTTTAGCAAATATGGAAATGCGTGCTATATGGAAAACAGAATATTACTGTTGGACCTGTTAGACACCTCACAAGTGCTTTGTGAGGAGAAAATACTGATGTCTAGCTTACGCTGACTCTTCAAAGTCAAAAGATTTGTTTCTACTTTCAGAGAGTACTTGAAAGTTCACTCAAAATCTGCACCATGAGGCTTTCTTGTCAAAGCACACGTGTGTACCTGCACACCTTCTGACTTCAGAGCACGATGGTATCCCTTAATTCTTCCACAGGAGATTTGTTCCATTTCATACAAAACTCTTCTCCCACTGAAATTTTCTTTTTGTGGTAGTAATTGTATTATTTGAATTTATGTTGCCAGTTGCCTTGATTGCACTTGATATATTTGTAGTATCAGGAGGAAGGTAGATGTATGTGGCAGTTCCCTAATAATTTGAGAGAGGAGAAAAGATGGGGGATTATATGTTGATATGTGTAATGGGACTTACTAAGAATTTCACCCTCCAACTTTGGGTTGGGGGACTGTTTTGTTCCTTCTAATGCAGAATGTAAACAAACTATGTAGTGCGTGGATGGCTGTTAATCTGCTTGGTGCTACGACTTGCGTAGCATCCTTTTTTCCCAGTGTAATCCGCCTTTTAAAGTTTGCTACTTTAAGATGCGCTGCTACATAGCTGTGAAAAAAAGAATAAAAAATAACTTGTTCGGGCTTGTTTGCGTGTGTTTTAAATGAAATCATTTGTTGACTCTGAAAAGAAAGCCGTAAATCTCTATAGTCTAAGATACTCCTCTGCTTAATGGAGAGGGTAAGTGGGTCCTGGCCAAGGTACGGCAGTACGGCAGAGGGGAGTGCCTGTCTCTGGCACGGGGTGCGTGGCGTTCGGTTTTGCACCGTATTCACGGCAATAGTTGTGGTAAAGCAGTTGTTTACAGGATGCACATGACATGGTTGTCTCTCATTGTGTTACCATGTGATGTTAACAAGTTGAGCATCGATAGCATTCAGTACCATATGTTGCAGTGGTATAGATAAACATCAAAGAAAAAGGGCTGCGCGAAAGGCACAAGATGAAAAGGGTGCACCTGCCTGTCCCTGCCCTAGAAGGGTGCTGAATCTGTCGCGTGTTGCACTCTGATGTAGGAAGGAAATACTTCTAGCTAACAAGAGATCATTAAAATATTTGGTGATCAAATCGAGTATTACTTAAAATATTCTAAAATTTTTTCCAACTCTATTTTTTTTTTTTTTAATTTTATTTTATTTTAATGTGTGTTCAAGATATAATTTTCGAGAGTTTGAATCATAGGGAAATCACTAGATGTTTTATGTGCATTTCTTTTCTCCAAACTGTTGCTTTTATCTACTGTTTTTAGTCTTTAAAAATACTACACTTGCTTTCATTGAGCTGTATGTAATTTTTTACCAGTTTGGGTTTTTTTGTCCTGGTAGACCAATAAGCAAGTTGAAAAGAAAGGCCAGGACTCCTGTTTCTTTAGTAACACCCTCTCCAGAGTTGTTCCTGCAGCCAGCGTTGCAGCTCACAGTGCTGCCTCAGTGTTTTGTCTTTTGTCCTCCAGCAACGCTGTCAAACAGTAACAGAGGAAACTCAGAAACATCTCAGATCTTTTTCTGACGCTTGCAGGAGTTTAAATGTTCCACACCTGATCGTGTATTTGGCTAGAAAGTATGTCAGGGCATCAGTAGGCATTTATTGCATCTCTTCTGGTTTACATCAGTCCTGTTTGCTTCCTCTGTCCAGAGACAAGGAAGTTATTTCACGTAATTTACAGTATCTACTTGTTTGCTTCCTCTGTCCAGAGACGTATTTTAGCAGCAAGTTATTTCACGTAATTTACAGTATCTACTTTGGATATTTCTAGGAAAACTCTCAATGTAGTGTCTTAGTATGGCAAAACCTTTGACTGTGCAGAGATCCAGGTTGGTTAGTAATAGGCTAATGTCACTGTGTGAGTTCGGCGAGGAAAAAATGTGCTGAAACGGAAGGAAGGGGGTCTCAATATGATGGAAAATCTCTGTGAGGTTATCTTAAGACTTGAGAAGGACTTCTGAGGTAATAACCATGCATCTTAAATTCAGTCATTGTGGTCTGGAAAACTAGGTCTGTGCCTACATGAATTTATTTTTCTGCTGTTTTTTTTTCCTAGTGTCCCAATGTAATATCAGCTTGAAGAAGCAGAGGAGTCGAAGTATCTTTAGCACCTTATTCTGCTGCTTTCGTGACTACAATGTCGAACCACCATCTACCAATAGCACCAGTGCTCTTCCTCCTTTGGTGGAGGAGAATGGAGGACTTCAGAAGGTCAGGCTTTTATCTTATTTTGCTGTCATATGGGTCTTTTGTAAGCAAGGTTCTCACTTCTGAAGGTTTGTCTTAATAGGTTTCCCTCATGGGGAACTTAAGAGTTACAGAAAAAATTACTATTTTGATGGTGAATTGCTAATACTATCTATTCAGCTGCAATTTAAAACTAACTTTTCTGTGAGGGGTATTGGCACTCTACGTTTTATAAGCAAACAATATTTAAAACCTGAGTAAGACACTAAAAAAATGTGAACTTCTCATAAAACTTCAGATGCTGAGTTGTCTCTAGCTTTGGTTCCCTTTCGCAACTACAGGAAGGTTAAAATGGAGCGTAGTGGAACCTTTTTGAATGTCAGTTAAAAGGGTTTTCAGTGATATAAAAACAGTTCAAAAATGGGGGGAACCATAATTGTTTGGAGCTTTTTTCTAACCAGTTCACCTATATTCAATGCACGCTGAGTTCAGAGGTATCAGCTTTTGGCCATTTTTCCAGGTTATTAAGTTTTGTTTACCTAATAAGTCAAATTAATTGATACAAACTTTTAGTGCTTCACAGCATTGTATGTAAGAGCAGCATGTTACTTTCATTGAGTTCTAGTAATTATATTGCTTTGCCATACTCATAAAATCATAACACAAATGATTTTGTATGTTCTTTTTAAATCTGATAACACTGAGAGCATTTGCGTTATGAAGAGTTTCAGTTCAATATAGCAAACATAGGAATACTGTCTTTTCCATACCATGTTGTTTTTCAGCGCTCTGAAAACCCCACTAGTGCTATACGCTTAATCAAAACACCATTCCCCTCGCACTTTTCCAGGACTTTAAGAGATTGCAAATATAGGTGTATCCATGATGGGGAATAAAATAGCAGAAATGGAGATATCTCTTATCTTTTCACCCTTCTGCTCTTCACACTAATTTTTCATATTTGATACAGCTGATTTTTTACCTACCTTCTCCAGTCCGTTTTATTTGGTTTTGAATTTTGCTGGGTATGTTTGAATTCTGAAGAGCTCAGGAGAAAGAGCAGAGGGACTGTTTGGTGGGTGAGAGGAAAGGAAAGCAAATTAAAGTGATGGAGACTAAGAATATGTGTGGAGGTAAATTCTGAACTGCAACAGTTCATGCTGAAACTGCTCACGCAGGGGTAAAGTGCACTGAAAAGTCCTCTGCCAAGAGGAGGAATTGTATGTGTATTTTTAGACTTCTTTTGCTGGCTAAGGTACATTTTGACTGAAATGAGGGAAATCTAGCCTGGATGTGCTGAAGGGAAAGCTGAGTAGTGTGTAGCATGTATGTGCACATTCACCTGAAGAGCAAAAGAAATGGCAAACTAGTAAAATTTCCCTTTCCACTATGCTAGGGAATGGAAAGGAGGCAGAGGTGAGGCTACCAGCAAAGTTACAAATGAGAGAAAATGAGAGTTCATTAGAAACAAAAATGTAAAGAAAAAAAGAGTTTGTTTTTTCTATAGAAAACGTGAGTTAAAATGGTCTGGAGTCAGTAGTTTTCAGATTGCATTTTGTAAAATTATTATTAATTACTTTCTAAATATATCTTATGCCTTGAGCCAGTGATTGCATGTATGTTCACACAAGTTTCCACCCTCACTCTGTGCTACCTTAGTGAACAGTTTTGAAGTTGTGCAGTACTTGTACACGAGCCCAAGACACAAATCACAGAATTCATAGCATTACCAGACTACAGCTTAATTGAGTAAAAGAGTTCAAGGAATATGCTAAAAAGAATTACTAAAGAGTGCATTTTCTTCAAACAGAATGAAATGCACTCAGATGTGTACAGATCTTTGTAGAAGAAATCAAGTATGGCTAAGCTTTTGGGTAGTTCTTAAGTGAGTGCAAATAAGCCTGTAACATTTCTGTTTTAAATGCAGTATTGAAGACTAACAAGCTTTGTATGTGTTTTTATATGCTGTTTTTATTTTCAGTGCTAACACGGTTAGTGTAAGTAGGAAATTCTTCTAAAGAAAGAAGAAGAGCGTTTAAGACTTGGATGTTACATGAATATCGTTACGTTGTCAGGCTAGTGCTTTTTACTAGGAGAGCTGTGTTTTAGAACTGTGCAGGCTGGTTGGATCTGACCGAGTTACACTGAGCATCTTGTCTAGATTCAGAAGTGATAAGTAGGTTGGGGGAAAGTACATGCAACAGTGGGCCTCAGTTTCTAAATTGGTGAAATGAAATGTCTAGGAATGACAAAATTACCTGTTTTAGGAAAGAAAAGAAAGCCTGACAACACACTGCTTAAACTCCTCTGCTGTTTAATTAAAGCTCATGTTGTATTAATCTGCCTGCCAGGTTAAGAACAGTTTAAATTCTGTTGAGCTGCTGTTCAAACGGTCACTTACTTAATATCTGCTCTCTCTTTTGTATGTTGTATTAATTATTTGTCACGTCACAGGTGACCTCTGACCATGGCCCAGTCAGTTCATGTGTTGTGACCTTTTCCTTCAAAAATGGAAGAAAATTGCACAATAATGTTAAATAGCTACTATTGGAAACTAGTATAAAATGGCTTGGATGTACTTTCCTTCTGTCTTTACTGTTCAGTAGAGTTGTGTGAAAACTGGTGATAAAGACTTCAGAGCAGGGAAAGGAACGGAGAAAGCCTCTGCTGGTTTCACAGGAATTCGGCGTTTGTTCTATGTTGCTTCTGGCGTATTCTTGAAGTTGATGTGACAAGCTAAATTCCTCCTAATTAGGAGTCTCATTCTTTCAACGCTAACCTGTTGTAAAGGAGGGAAAGCATCGAAGGGTATTTTATAAAGCAATTGAAAACAGAGTTCTGAAATTTTGTTCAGAGTAATTGCGTTGTGCGATTTAGGTTTTATTATTATTATTATTTTGCTGAGTTAGAAAACATGAAATCAGTGCTTCAAATGAAATCGGTGCTTCATGTAGTATTTTATCAAGTGATGTGACTTGATTATGCTTGGCAAGTCAAGTGTCATGTCACTTCTTCATAAGATTGGAAGAAACGCCAAACGGAGCATGGTTTTGAATAAACAGGGTTTTTCAGCACTGACTTCTATTCCATTAGGGGGAAAAGCCCAAAAACTTCTTTAAAGTATTGAGTTCACTTTTAAACCTTCTACTCACAGAGCAGCTGCTTGTCCAAATGTGACTCTAATACTGGTAATGAATGATCCATTCTGTCTCTAAAGTTTCAATATAACATTTTTCAATAATAACTTGTATTTACTGAAACTATTATATATTTGTTTTTCTTAAAATGTGACAGCTTTTTAGTGCAGCACAAAGATGCGTTCTAGGACGTAATATCTATTGCAGTGGGTATATCAGCCTGTCTACAGCTTGGGTGCCGAGCCAGATGTGTCATTGGGAGCACAAAATGTTTGGCTTCGTGAAATCCTTGCTAATTTTTTCCTGCCTCCTCAGCAGCAGGCAGCTCACCAAGACCTTCCACCCAGTTTTTTTAGGGTCCAGAGTGTTGGGAGAGGGAAGTGGTTTTTGTTTTCTTCTGAAAACAAAATTGAAATCTCAATTTCTGTTCTTCAGTTAGCACCTTGACTCAATTTGTGTATTTTCCGGGCATGCTTCTCGGTGTAAGTTTTTTTTTTTTTTTTTTTGCTGGGTAAGTTTGTTACCTGAGTTTTGAAGTGTTTCCAGATACAGATTTCATCTGCAGGCTTCAAGGAGGGATCCAGCTAGAGAAAGGTGAGAAAAGCTAGATGCAAACTGGCTCTCTCTTCCATTTGCCTTCAGTCGTGGTGGGTGAGGGAGCTCTGACAAGTCTATCGGCACTTTGCCATTTCACTTACAACCCCCTTCCACTAGAGTCATCTCTGCTTTTGTTTCTCAGTTCGATCCAAATCAGGCAGATGGCTTGTGTTCAACAAGATGAAACATGAATGAGGAAAGGGTTTTTTTTATACTTGTTGGATTAGAGGAGAAGGTCTTGATCCACACTCAACAGGGGAGAAGACGGAATTAGAAGAAGGTTTATTCTGGGGGCAGCAGCTGCCCCTGCTGCTTTCCCTGTAACAGGAATGAAGCCAGAAATGTCAGGTCCTTGAATTTCCACCTCACCCTAACCACTGCAAAAGTTAGGTCTCTTTCTCCCCACTGCTTTTTGCCGCACAGTTCTGTCCTCTCCAAGGTGATGCTGGAAAGCTGTTTTGATGACTTATTGTCGTGTCTCCAACACTCTTTTCTGCTTTGGGGATCTGTACTTATAACACTTGAAAGTGCAGGGGAAGGGATCTTCTCTATCCAATGTGAATATGGTTCACCAGAATGAGAAAAACAGCTTGTAGGGAGCATGTTCTTGAGGTCAAAAGTAGCATCTTCTTCATGCAAGAGACCTAGAGGAGCCACACGAGCATGGACTCTTTGATGGGGAGTCTGTTAACAGCATGCTTTCCGAACAGATGTGGAAACCAGTCTCACCCCTCAGTGTGGAGGAAGATAAGTGAGATTAATGTAAGTAATAGTAATCTTCCTCTGCTTAACCTTTGCTGATCAGAGCAAGAAAATTCCTAGTGTTTGGTTCTGTGGGTCGCCATCAGCATGCGGTATGGTAGGTCTATTTAGGAAAAAAAAGCCTCTGCGTAGCTATGTTTGGTTCCTCTGTCTCTGCCTACGCATTCTGACCACCTTTGCCTAAAAAGTCTTCTATGTTAAGAGACAAAGCTCGATAGTCCAAGTCAATGAAAGAGTCAAATAGCTACTATATTGTTGTTTTTAAAGAACCTATCACAGTCTAGTATAAGCTTTGTGTTAAAGAAATTAATATGGTAAATCTGTTCTTTTGATCAGCTTTTTCTTTTAAGGCATTATTCTTTAAAATGAAACAACTCCTGATCTTTGAATACAGACTGTTCTCAAAAAAGCAAAATAGTGTGGTCTGTCACTTGATGCTCATTGATCCCGTACACAACCGTAGACAGACAGCATTAATGAATGGCTGCGGTACTGAAAATGCTGTGTCTTTCGGACTAAAATTACGTAGCTAAGGGAAAAGGTAGGATTTATTGTTTCATCTGTATATATCATGCCATGAAAAAAAAACCCCTGATTTCAGTGGCTGGACAAATCAGTTCCTGGGTTATCTTAGTGATACAATGGGGAAATTTTGGCATTCTAGGAACAGCTTTGTCCTGTTACCAGCATCAGGAGCTCGTGGAAAGACTTCAACAAATGCAGTCATCTGTCATCTATTTCAAACGATAGCATTATGACCTACTTCCCTTCCTGTTCCAAGGCATCAGGAAATGAGGCAGGACACTGTTAAAAAGTTTCCCATAGCAGGCTTGTTTTTAAAAAGCATTTGCCTGTTCATTTAAACTTTAACTTTACCAGCAGACTCTTGCATTTATCTTTCTGCTTGTTGTTCCAGTTGTCATCATTACCATTTTGATTTTTGCATTGGTACTTTTAGGGTTCCTGTTAGGAAATTCGCTTGTTTTCCTTGGTTTTTTTATTCTGCAAGAAAAATAAAGTGAACAGTAATGCAAGTCCTTTAGCAACTTAGGTTCTGGATTCCCATGAAAGTCAGGATGAACAGTAATGCTGTGGGGTGCAGCTCTTGCTTCAAGAGATTGCCAAAATAGAAAGCAAGTTATGCCACGGTGAGTGCTTCTTGAAGTCTGTAGGAAAACCTGATGTGATACGCAGGTATATTTGTGTCCAAGAGTAAAATAATCTTGTACCATAACTGTGGATATGCCTCTACCTCTTATATACTGTTTTTGTCTGTTGATGGAAGAGGAGCTCCAGTTGTATTTTATTCTCTCTACCAGTGAATGAAAAAAATGCCTTTAAAAACAAACAAAACACGGGTTTGCAATCTGTGCTCTGCCTGCGTAACCATATCTTTGATAACAATTTGATCACAGGCCAGCTAATCTGACTGGCACCTACACAAATTCACTCCTTTCTCAAATGGCCCACGAACTTCAGATGATGTTCCACTAACAGGACATTAACATGCTGAATTATATTTTTTTCCCTTTTCTTTTTGCCATTATCTTGAGGAAAATTTGGATTCTTACCAGTTTTTGTGTTTGTTTTTGTAGAGATCAGATACTTTTTACTAAAGCAAACTTCTTGATAGTTCGTGGTAGTTGCTGCTCTCTAGCTGCTTCATCAGCTTCTCTGGATTTTGGTCAAATTTCAGTAAAAATTTCTGCTGTTGTAGCAATAAAAAGAGGACTTTAAAAATAATACTGAATTACTTTTGTTTGTCAGTGATGTGTCAACACTATGTTAGACTCCAAAACAAGTGAGCACAAGACTTTTTCAGCTGGAAGAGGATGTTCTAATGTTGAAAACAGCTCTTTCAATAGATAGTCAATCTGCTGGTAGTCAGAGCCCATGCTGTCCAAGTAATTAAAGAATAACATAATCTACCTAAGCAACATCTGTGCTAGAAGGGTCAGCTTTTTTTTTTTAATGTGCAGTGCCCACCAGAAAACAAATACTTGTTTCTGACAGATCAGAAAGATTAGAAAATACAGTTCCTGCTTCCCAAAATGTCTTACATATTAAGCTGGCGACCCTGTGACCAGCCTATCTCCATTTAGAAGCTGTAAATGGAATCGTCTTTGTCTCCATATGTCGGGTCCCAGGATGAGAAGAAAAGGTCAAGTTGGCCAAAGACTGTCTTCCCTTCTCTCAAGTACAATACAAAAGTGAGACCATGGGAAGAGCACTGATACTGTTGCCTCTATCTGGGTGAAGAAAGTGGCATTCCTTGATTGGTTTACCATCATCATGTCCATCTTGGGCATTTTGCTGTTGCCTAAGGGAAAATGCTGTTTTTTCTGAGGCAGTTGTCTCAAGTGAAGTGTCTTCAAGGAGTGGGCTTCTGCCCTGCTACCAAGGTCTGGCTGAGCATCTTGTTGCTGCAGTGAAAATAGACAGATACACACATTAGTAGATCTTAAAGCTGAAAAAGTTACAGTAAATACAGGTACTTTCTTATTATCATCTCTTATTAATCATAGCATGGGTTTTACCAGTCCAGTCTCCTAAAAATCATAAATGCCGATATACTAACCGATCATTTCAGCGACTAAAATGCAAGATCCTGTTTTTTTGTTTTTTTTTTACCCTGGTTTCTTAAATACTTTGAACTTTTGGTTTAAAATGTTTGAGTGCTACATTTACTGCTTCAGACCTTTGTTCTACCCTTTAAAAGCCATTACCCTTACAGTGATTTTTTTTCTTTTTCCCCAGGGTGACCAGATGCAGGTCATGCCTATACCAAGTGTATGTATTTTTATCCCTTTTTCTTTTAATAATTTTCATAACTTTTGCTTTGATTCATCTTATTTTGCAGTCTAACAGGTCTGTTTTGTGTTGCATGTTAACAAAAGGATTTTATGTTCTGTCTGCAATGTTGTTTACTCAGAGATGAATTGAACTGCACGTGTTGTACAGGGACTAAAAGAAGAGTTTGGGTTTTAAATGGTTTTCATCTTGCATCTCGGTTAAATTCGTTTCTGAATTTTTATAATTTTGAAAATGCGTGAAGTAGTCTGAAAGTTGAAGTTACTTATTTTAACAGAGACAAAAGGTGACTCATCATCATTATGTGGGACACAGTTACAAAAACCTTTTCCTCCAATTTTTCCCTATATTCCGGTTTGAAAAGAAGCGTTAGAAAATACATAATTTGTTTGAAACAAGCCACGTTAGGAAAACAAAGAGTACACTGCATTACTGCACTCATTCGAGATGATGCTCTCAGTATCAGCTGCTGTTTTATGGGCCTTAACATTTCTGCTTATCTTCCCTGGATTAAACTTGGAATGCCATTTGGCATCTGAATTATTTTTCAAAACTAAACAAAAGGAAGAAAAAAAAAAGTTCTTCGAAGTGAAGCTTTCAATTTAATTAGGTTTAACCTTTTTTGGTCAAAAAGCTGCTCTTTTTCTACCTGTTTGTTATGTGGATGAAGACTTAGACTTTTTAAATCTGGAAATACATTTTTTTTAGCTCCTTTGCTGTTTGTAACACTTTATTACTGCAGAGTTTTCCAGGAAATGGCAGTGCTGATGTGTGGAGTTACTGACACAGCCCTCTTTCTTGAGATATTTGGTAGCCCCTAAAGACCTGAATATTCCCCAAGATACCCTTTTTCTCCCTCTTTC